TTACTAACGAAGTGACTTAATTAGCTAATCACTAAGTAAGTGAAAAGCGTAAATCAACAAAATAATCAATTTTTTCAAAATTTCTTGGTTTATCAATCAATAAATTAAGTTTTTACCTTAAATCAAGTGTCAAACTTGTGATATTCTAGCACTACGCTATTCCTGTGCCTAAATCTTTTGCACCCTATGCACCAATACTATTACAACTTTAAATATAAGAATAAATAATGAATTAAGAAAATAAATTTGGAGGAGAAAGGATTGTAAAAAAAGATTGTTGGTTTTGTTAGTATCATCGTTTGTTTTTGAAGGAGTAAGTAACTAACTAACTAAGTAAGTAAGTTAACAAATTGATTATTTTTATTTGAGGAGTAAGTAAGTAAGTCAGTCTGTAAGTAAGTAAGTAATTAAAAAAGCAATCTAATAAAACAATAAATAACTAACTAACTTGCTTACTAACGAAGTGACTTAATTAGCTAATCACTAAGTAAGTGAAAAGCGTAAATCAACAAAATAATCAATTTTTTCAAAATTTCTTGCTTTATCAATCAATAAATTAAGTTTTTACTATAAATCAAGTGTCAAACTTGTGATATTCTTGCACTACGCTATTTCTGTGCCTAAATCTTTTGCACCCTATGCACCAATACTATTTTCCCTTTAAATATAAGAATAAATAATGAATTAAGAAAATAAATTTGGAGGAGAAAGGATTGTAAAAAAAGATTGTTGGTTTTGTTAGTATCTTCGTTTGTTTTTGAAGGAGTAAGTAACTAAGTAACTAACTAAGTAAGTAAGTTAACAAATTGATTATTTTTTAGTTGAGGAGTAAGTAAGTAAGTCAGTCTGTAAGTAAGTAAGTAATTAAAAAAGCAATCTAATAAAACAATAAATAACTAACTAACTTGCTTACTAACGAAGTGACTTAATTAGCTAATCACTAAGTAAGTGAAAAGCGTAAATCAACAAAATAATCAATTTTTTCAAAATTTCTTGCTTTATCAATCAATAAATTAAGTTTTTACTATAAATCAAGTGTCAAACTTGTGATATTCTTGCACTACGCTATTCCTGTGCCTAAATCTTTTGCACCCTATGCACCAATACTATTTACCCTTTAAATATAAGAATAAATAATGAATTAAGAAAATAAATTTGGAGGAGAAAGGATTGTAAAAAAAA